CTAAACAAGGGACACGCCTCCTCATGTTCCATGTCACTGCACTGCATGGTTTCGTATATATGAACGTGCAAAGCTGATCTGGTTTGGTTTTCAGAAAAATTTGACTTTAGACTTGGACTAGTGGGGTCAGTTAACAGAAGGAGGCTTCTTACCAATTGCGAGATCTCCTTAAAGAGAGTTCTCTAGGTTTCTTAGATTGCAAACGCCAAGAACCCCCCCCCCCCCCCCCGCCACCTTACAGTCGGTGTTATGAAAACCGGCGAATGAGGATAAGGAATAAAATTATTGGCTGCGATCCTGTTTTATTCATTTTACACATTCTGGTGTAAACATCTGTATTTCAGATCATGAAAACATCAAATGCTACAGCAAAATGACACATTCTGTTACCAACATCCAAACATTGGCAGACATTCAATCAGCAGGCCAAAAATGTATTTTGCATGCAAACCCCATGTCATCTGTGATGGTGGCTATGCATTATGCAGGAGTATCAATTCAGATTAATTTCTGGGGCACTACCCAATTCCATGTCGGGTCGGGCCAAATCAGTGCTTCCTCCTTTTCCTTACCCAAAATTTGTAGTTGGAAAATACATAAGAAATATATAAGAGAAAGGCAATTTGACACCAAGCCATCTGCTCTTGGTTCTACTTATCGACCATGACCCATGGATGGCTACTTGCCTCTAATCCTACATAAAAATTGACACTCCTGTCATCATTTCACCGCCACACAAACTATGTTGATTTCTACTATCAATGTAGGCTGCATATAAGGCAGGCTGTCTCCTTCACATCTGTACCTAATGTATGTAGTGATTATGCCAAGGGTTCCATCAAGACAATTCTACGATTCAATGTTATCAAAAACGGCAATGAAATATACCATATTAGCATTCATGAAACGTTATGCTCACAAGTGCAAAGAAAATATGCATACGAATGAGCACTGCAGAATGAATGACTTACAAAGCTTTCCTGTTACAGTAGGGGTGCTATCATCACGAAATAGCCAACATTGCCTTAAGAGGCAACCAAACGCCAGCCTCTCACTAATCACACAGGACAACTGGACCACATTACCATAAAACCTCCTGCTATTTGAAGTAAAACGAGACCTGCACCCTCCTCATTGCCTACAGTTGCTACACAACGCCACTCCTCGCGTTCATTGTCCTTTCATGGCCTACATCGGTGACTATCATATAGATTTCCAGCAACCAAGATTCATGTCAGTAAAAGGTTGATCGTGAATAACTGCTTAAATAAGTGTAAAAACATTGATGAAATAATTGCATTCCAAGCAGGGACATAGTTTTTAAAGATGGGTTTGGGGAGCAGTGAAAAATTATACAATGTACCCCCTTAATATTGATGTCTCCCAGATTAGCACACTCCTTCAAAACTTGGACCGAGGTTTGGAGACCTGAACTTAAAGGCAAACTAGGAACGGCCTGATTTGTAGATCTAAATGACCGGTAACCATTCCAAATCAGGACAAGAGCAGACATGGCATGAATTAGCACTTCAGAACCATCGACATCACCTGTCATTCCTCTTTATGAGGAGTGCCATCAGACTTCAGCACCAAACCCATGGTGCTTCAAAGGGGAAGAATGCTGGTCACTTGTGACTGCCGCAGTGAGTCAACAGCCTTTTCGTTGTCTTGAAAAAAGCGGTTTGGATAATCACAGGTCTATTTCTACCTTGATCTGATCATCCCGCTGACTTACCCTGAGCTGTCGACTCCTCTCATCGCTGAGGGCAGGATGCTGAATCGCGGCACCGCCAACGAAGTAAACAAGACCAAAGATTAAACCCTACGCAGGTTTTCATGACACCGCAATGCAAATGCCACTTCCAAAGTACAGTGCATTGAAAGTCACCGCCCACCTGGCATCAGTCATATCGCAACGATGAAGCGTGCTCTTGCGGCCAGATGAATCCTCATATCTAGATCTTTTTTGTATGTTAAACTGTCTGGTTCGGGACACTGAGAGTCGGCTGGTGAAAACAGCCAATCAGCCGCCCAGGTGGGCCATAGGAAATACATTGATTTGCCACCGATATGACACCGAGTCGAGCGACCAACTAGAAATGGCTGAGAGTCGCTTCAACAGTGATAGCTCGCCTGTTCTCTCCATCCCGGGACTGTGCCGAAGCTTAGTTCTCCTGTTCTCTCTGTTCTATAGCTGCATAGCTCGCCTGTTCTCTCCATCCCGGGACCGTGCCGTAGCTTGACGCTGCGCCCGGCGTTACAGCGCAGCTTGGAAATGTTGTCATCTATGTCAACAACTTGTATGTTCGTCAACTTTCAACAGCTAACCGAAGGGTGCGGCATGGGGGAACGAGGCGTGCCACATGGGGCGCAGAGAGGTACCATATGAGGTACAGAGCGTTACCGCACTGGGGCGCCGAGGGGTGCCATATGAGGTACAGAGCGTTACCACATGAGATACAGAGCGTTACCACATGGGGCGCCGAGGGGTACCATATGAGGTACAGAGCGTTACCCCATGAGATACAGGGCGTTGCCACATGGAGTGCCAAGGTGTGCCACATGGGTGATCGTCGGCAGCTTCATCTCGAGGAAGCTGGACTTCGTGACTGGCGAGAATGACGACACGTGGGTCCTCGTCAGCGAGGAGGCCGGGGTGTGTGGTCGAGCCCCGCCACGGAGGAGGTCATGAGTGGTCGAGCCCCGCCACGGAGGAGGTCATGAGGAGCGCGGCCAGATCACGGCCTCACAGTGATTCAGCAGGGAGGCCGGGGTGTGTGGTCGAGCCCCGCCACGAAGGAGGTCATGAGGAGCGCGGCCAGATCACGGCCTCACAGTGATTCAGCAGGGAGGCCGGGGTGTGTGGTCGAGCCCCGCCACGGAGGAGGTCATGAGGAGCGCGGCCAGATCACGGCCTCACAGTGATTCAGCAGGGAGGCCGGGGTGTGTGGTCGAACCCCGCCACGAAGGAGGTCATGAGGAGCGCGGCCAGATCACGGCCTCACAGTGATTCAGCAGGGAGGCCGGGGTGTGTGGTCGAGCCCCGCGGCGGAGGAGGTCATGAGGAGCGCGGCCAGGTCACGGCCTCACAGTGACGCGCACGACTGACTGGAAGACACACGGTTTCGAATGATGCGAACCCAAGCCGAACGGCAGCACGGTTTTTGCACTGATTTGTAATTCGCATTGCTTCCGTGCTGTTTGGTGGGAGCCTGCGCTGCGTTTGTGATGTGCGGCGCGTTGGAACGTGCTCCCCCAGGGCAGGGTTTGCTTGTCGGTATAAGTTCGAGGAAATGAGATCGTATTGACGAGGCATCACGCATTAAGCCGCTCCGGAGAGACGTCCGACAGTTGACAGCATGCTGTTCTGCGGTGGATACCCAGTCACACGACTGTATAGGCGAGGAGCTCCGACTACTGGCTAGTCACACACTCCAGTCATTTTGCAGACAATATGCAAGGGTCAGCATGGCCTGTCATGGTCTGGATAACCAGAACCTGCACGAATGCTGTGTTGTCAGATCTGTACAGCTGCGTCGAACCATTGTTGAAGATGCTATCTAGACAGCAAAACCTGACTCGATGACGTCGACTAGATGGCTCGATGGCGTCGACTAGATGGCTCGATGGCGTCGACTAGATGGCTCGATGGCGTCCGTTTGTTAAGACTGACTGGCATAGGAGGCAGGCTCATGTCATGTCACGTGTTTACTGCGAATGTCATGTCACGCCTTCTACGCCATGTCACGTGTTGTCCTATGTAATGTCACGTGTTTACTACGAATCGTTCCATATGCATGACTTGATGTCTCACTTAATTCAATGGGTTACAAGTTACACGGTAAACACGAAAATGCGGCGATGATGAAGGCACGTTAAGAGCTTGACAAAGGCCTACAAGGTCAGACACAAACCTCTTTTTTTCATTGGTCAAGTTTAAGCCGGCGGCAAGGGTTCCAGGACGAGGCCGCACGATATGAAAACGGCCTACGCGACGCAGAGAGTCGTACAGCGGCGGTTCCAAAGCGTCGGCCACCGCCGAGCCCGTGATACGCTCACTCAACGACCAGATTACGGCGGCCCGCTACCGAGGCATGGAATTCATTCAGAACCCTGAAGACGCCAATGCCATCGCGGCGCGTAACAAGGTCACTGATTCCGCGTCAGCCCAGTGACCTCGCCACCAATGGAGTACGATCTCGACCCCGCACCCCGAGACGATCCTGGCTGCGACATTCGCGGCCGTTTGCACCCGGCCTAGTCGCGGGCGGCGCCCCCACCGCAGACAGAGATATGGGATATGGGGAAAACATGGGCCTGGATAAGGGGTTTGCGGGCTTCGGACGTGAGGTGATGATGAATTTCGTACAGACAAGACAGGATGGAGCTGTGCTTTTGTACTAACTTGGATACGTACCCCCCGCCCCCGGTGTTAGATGATGATGAATTTCGCACAGACAAGGCAGGATGGAGCTGTGCTTTTTGGCTGGTTTGAATATGTGCTCCCCCGGACAGGGACGACCAATGGTCCCTCCCAGCATCTTCACGGACGGCGGGGGAGTCAATATGGAGTTGGAGGTGTTGAGATTGAGGTACGTGGTTTTTGCTTGGATGGGCAAGGATGGTTTCCTCCTGTCGGGATTTAGGATGGGGCCCACCACGGACCACTGAGACAAGCGGATGGGGTCCACCACGGACCACTGAGACACACCGTGGGACAGGGGAGGGTATAGTGAACCACCTCTCACCACCTGCCGCCGTCCATCAACGCAACTTTGAAACCTTCGGGGATCACTGCCGTGCCACTGCAGCTTGATCAGGAGGACGCCGTGGTCAACACTGTCGAAGGATTTTCAAAGATCAAGCGTCGATTTTGCATCTCTGTACCGTGATGAACTGCAGGCCAACTCTGACAAATGGCTAACTAATTCTGATGAACTGACGAGTGACAAACTGTTAGGAGTTCAATATGACAATTTTTGAATGCATCACAAACCACATTATCTGAATGTTTTATAGCCTTCGATGCTGTGAGCAGTGGCACATCGTACAAACAAGCGAGAGAAAAATAACCTTCCGCCAAAATGCAACTCGTTTTCCATGTCACAACATCACAGACAGCCGGCAGCAGCAATTGTACAAAAGTGCTCCCAGCAGCTTAAGAGCAGGTACAAAGCACAAATCAGCATACAAGAACCAGGTACTACATTACGCACCACATACGCACCACCCATCTTACGTGCCGCGTGCGCAGCCAACAGAAACACCCTCGCTCTCGACATCAACCATGCTCTCATTCAACGCGGGCGGCCATGTCGGCCCCGTTGCCCGCCTCCCGCGCCAGATGCTGCCCCGACTCGCCCACTCAACCACGTGCTCTTCAGGGCCCGCCGCAGGCCCGCTGACACTGCTCTCGCCTCACGAAGTTGTTGGTGTTGCCGGCGCAGCCGCCATAGATGAAGCGCTGGCAGACGCCGGTGGCGCGGTTGAAGCCGTATCTCCGGAACAGCGCTCTGCAGGGGCCGCGGATGATACGGAGCCTGCAGACGGAGCTCGGGCTGCCTGCAACGAGACCGGACAGCGTCAGACAGGGTAGGACTGAGCCAGGCCGGACAGCGTCAGATAGGGTAGGACTGAGCCAGGCTGGACAGCGTCAGACAGGGCAGGACTGAGCCAGGCTGGACAGCGTCAGACAGCGTCAGACAGGGCAGGACTGAGCCAGGTCGGACAGCGTCAGACAGCGTCAGACAGGGCGGGACTGAGCCAGGCCGGACAGCGTCAGGCAGGGTGGGACTGAGCCAGGTCGGACAGCGTCAGGCAGGGTGTGACTGAACCAGGCCCGACAGCGCCAGACAGGGTGGGACTGGTCCAGGCCGGACAGCGTCAGACAGGGTAGGACTGGACCCGGCCGTACAACTCCAGACAGAGCATTACTGAACCAGGCCGGACAGCGTCGCGCAGTGTCAGACCGGGTAGGGCTGGACCAGGCCGGACAGCGTCGAACAGTGTCAGACAGGGTAGGACTGGCCAGGCCGGGAAGCGTTAGACAGGGTAACACTGGACCAGGCTGGACAGCGTCAGACAGGGTAGGATTGGATCAGGCCGGACAGCGCCAGACAGGGTAGGGCTAGACCAGGTCGGACAGCGTCGGACAGCGTCGGATGGGTAGGGCTGGGCAAGGCCGGACAGCGCCCAACAGCGTCAGACAGGGTGGGGCTGGACCAAGTGGGATAATGCCGGATGGTGTTGCATGGTGCCGGATGGGGCCGGATGGTGTCGGATGGTGCCGGATGGTGCCGGATGATGCCGGATGGTGTCGCATGGCGCCGGATGGGGCCGGATAGGGCCGGAGAGGGAAGGGCGCCGGACAGAATCGGACGGTGTCGAGGTGCGCTAGGAAGAGTTGGATGTGCTTAGGCGGAGTTGGAAATGTCGGATAACGTTGACAATGTTTGATGGGCTGGGTGAAATCTTAGGAGGCTCCTCGAAGGCCGTGGTAACTTTGATGCAGCCAATCCCCGGCAGTCATGACCGGCCCGGCGGCCCAGTCATGACGTTGGCTTTGCTGCAGGTAATCCCCGACAGTGATGCGGTCCGGCGGCCAAGTCATGACGTTAGCTTTGCTGCAGGTTATCACCGACAGTGATGCGGTCCGGCGGCCCGGTCATGACGTTAGCTTTGCTGCAGGTTATCACCGACAGTGATGCGGTCCGGCGGCCTGGCCATGACGTTAACTTTGTTGCAGGTTATCGCCGACAGTGATGCGGTCCGGCGGCCTGACCGTGACCTACAGCGTAACGTAATGCGCAAGAGCTGCTCCTAGCTATGAAAGGATTGGTTGCAGACAGAAGTGATTGTGACATATCAGGCCTCGATTATAAATGAAAGGAGGCAATTTGCTGACAGTTGGTGATGAAATCGAGATAGGATCTCACCTCCGGTGCTGAAGTTTTGCCTTAAAATAACTTTTCTTCGTATTCGTAATGTTTACAGTGGTCCTGTGCTCTTCGTCAATTTCGTGGGTCTCGGAAGAAACAATCCGCTGCCTGGCACGACGGCAGCTGGGACGCGTATGTGGTTCATGATCTTGTATGCCAACAGGTGTGATCCGCTCAAACTTCTAAAATTAAACGCGTCTGGTGTGGAAGCCTTCAAATTGCCACGAAATATGCAAAACCGGAGTCGCACACAATGGAAGTACGGTTATTTGGTTATTTGGTTATTTCTTTCCAGTCCACGCCCCTGGCCCGATGCGAGTTGTTGACAGAAATGGGAAGGCTAAGTATCCTTGCTCATTCTCTCCCGGTTGGCGTTCCCTGAAAGGTGTTCACTCTGTCGCCTCGGATGTGAACGTGGACATCAGTTCATCATACGTGAAATAGCCACTGAAAGAAACCTTAAAATTGTGCGAGAGTTATACAAAAAGTAACCGTGTTTGGAGCGCTGAAAGGAAGCTAAGATACAATGAAAGAGAGACCGTCGTGAACGACAGTGTACAACAGTGCATGAACCGATTGGGCCGCGTTTTGGCAGCATCTGAAGCGAACAAGTTTTTCTCGTTTTTCGATAAATCGGCACGGGACAAACTGCCGCGTCTGCTGCGCCTACACAACGGGAACCGTGTCAGCCCATTACCGACACGGCCTGTTCCGAGTCCTCCCGAAGACCAAGCTTGCGTGAGGAATGTCAGATACTTGCACCGTCAGAATGGTTGCAACATGCAATCATGTTTGAGGATGGCATTGCAACAGCAGCCCGGCTGCGCATTGCTACAGTTTTTTTCGCGCAAGTTCTTTGACTGAATGGCTTAGAAGTTGAACTGAACTTCTTGCTCGAAATTGATGCATGAATGAGTTGAACACATAATAATGCCAGATAATCCAGGGGCAAATGAATGAAATAATCTTAATTCCGTACCAGGCCTAGCATCTGAACACAGTTTTGCTAACAAAATGATCCTCTGTTGTTTTTCTGTTTCGCTCGCGGTGGCCTCGTGCCGGGCAGCCGGGCCCATGCCGGCGTGCCCTGTTGGACCTCCGGCTGCTCGACGGCCAGTCGTCAACTCCGCACGCGGTGCCCGGGCCTCACAGCGCACAACAGGAACCACGCTCCGATGAGGGCAGCAGCCTCCATCACATCGGCCAGTTGACCTACGTGCCCTCCAGCAGCGGACCGGAACACACGACCGAGCCAAGGAGGTGCGCCTTGCCGCAGGAGGCGACGGTGGCGACCCTGGCGGACGGGTGTGCAAACCACAACCTCGCGACCTTGTGACCGGCTACAGCAACATCGCACTGCGCAGGCAGTGCAAGCACTGTTCGTGCCATCACGGATATCACGGACGTGCATGACTCTGTGCGAGTGTAAAGACATGCACAGCCGTGCAAGTGGGAGCAATAAGGCCTATATTTTCATGCGCTGTACACGAAAAATAGAACGGAAAGTGGCACAGGAACATGGTCTGTGCATCATGCCTATCGTTAACGTCGAGCGTCTTCTCTGGGTATGGATTTCCCCTAAAAGGTGGAAAGGTGTTGGATTAACTAACAACCCGCCTGTTCCGATAGCTTAGATGGTCAGCGCGCCTGTCCTCCAATTCACCCAACCGTGGCGGGATGAGTTCGAGTGGCTTTAGGCGCTCGTCATTGCCTTTGACAAGTATGGCCTGCGGCCGCGATAAAGCTCAGATGACGTCATAGGGCAGGAGGGACCAGGAGCATTGCGGCACGTTAAGCTTTTTCCACTAAATTACGTCGTTGATATGGAATAGCGCGATCGGATGGTAGGGGTTAGGGCTTACACAACAAGCGCTGCTTAGCGTGAGCTCCGATCCCAGAAATCCATCAATTTGAAAAAGCTCGGATTAAATCTTAAAAAACTGTGATTTAAGCCACCAGCAGGCAACCATACGGATCAACGACACGAATCCGCCGGACAGCTAACATGCAGGCCACCTCTCTCGAGACATGCGAATGGAACATCCCAAGATCCGGTAGCAGAGAGGCGAACGAGGCTCCAAAGACGACGAGCCCACAGCCACGCGCCGCCCGGGCCTCTCCCTGCGCGCGAGCGCTGTGGACAGCCGGTGACGGCTCGCCCCGCCGTCGCAGGGCCGCCTCCCAGTCGCTCAGCTCGACCCATCCCACCGCGGCGGCCAGCCGGGCCGGAGGCGGCACGCGCCGCTCCTCCCCGACCGGAAGCTGCAGCACACGACGCATGACCCCACGACATAGGCTCCGCTGCCGTTGGGGGAGGGGAGGGGAGAGGTGCAGCTCCACAAACGGGACGCGGCCGAATGGCCTGGTTATGACCTCAAGGAATGGTATTTGTAAACGCCGGCAGCCTGACGTCACCGAGACTCCGAAGGAAGTCAACATGTGTGCAAGGTGGTGACGGCACCCCACAGTCGCGGTCTGGCGCCTGAGTCATGGATCCTCTGTGCACCGTCAGCACCGGATCACACACCGGGGCCCCCGGAAGCCCTGCTAAAAGGCCTTGTCCGCTGCGTCAGAACAGGACAGCTACAGCCGCTGTTTGGCAGCTACTGCCGTGCGATGGTCAAGACTAGATAATGCGGGTTCAACGCCAGGCAGTTTGATGCATTAACCAGGAGATGGGGGGGGAACTCATGGTGCTTCTGCATGACACGACAATGAACTCGACAACTGTTTAGCGAAATAGGTGGGTTTATAACTGTGGAAGAGAACCTACAGAACATGGCCTGAAGCATGACATTCTTGCACTCAAACAAGAGAATTCCCGTATTAACCACGGGGTGAAACATTTGGCCTTATGCTGTCTCTTCTCATGAACCGATAGATGCAATGTTGAAAAACTAAACCCTGTTGCCGGATAATGACCCTGGGTTTTCGGGATTTTCGTCATCTAGGCAATTGCCGGCTTGGTTTACCACTTGTTCGCCGTTTCTCCACAGCCCCTCGGGGGAGGGGGGGGGGGGGGCGAGCGACAGCGGGCCTCGTCCAGGTCAAAAGCTCGTCGTTTGATCGAACTTCTACAGCTCCGAGCTGTGTGTATTGCAGGCAGGCGGCCATGCTGCCTGTCCCTCCCGTGCCAGGCGGGGGTTGCAGGCAGGCGGCCACGCTGTCTGTCCCTTCCGTTCCAGACGGGGGATGCAGGCAGGCGGCCACGCTGTCTGTCCCTCCCGCTCCAGACGGGGGCTGCAGGCAGGCGGCCATGCTGTCTGTCCTTCCCGTTCCGGACGGGGCCACCTCGTCACCTTGTCCCCATCACTGTCACACTGTGACGGTAATTGGGGGCATAACGTCGGGTAGTTCGTAGGTGGCATCAGTCCTTCAACATCATACTTCAACTTTGGCTCGTGATAGCTGTATTCGGTTCTCCTTACTCAGACTGAAGGTTTTTTTTTACTCAGACTGAAGACTACTTACGACGTAAGCTCGCACGCGCGGTCTTTGATATCATGCAGGTGGTGATAACGCTTATTTCTGTTACGCCCTTCGCCGTCCGACACTGCAAAAGTCGTCTTGCAGGTGTTTATGAAGATCTAGCTGGTCTTTCCACAATTGGTGCAAGGAGATGAGAGGCAGCACGAACTTGGCATTTTCGCTGAATGACAAAGCACACGTGGCGAACCGCACACAAACATAAGTGTTTTAGCAAACGTGCGGTCGATTGACCACAAATGACGATCAGATATGATAAAACAAGCTCACTTATAACTATTGGTATGCTTCTTAAGTGGAAAAGACTGCACTAGACAGCAAAGTTCTCGGTTTAGTAAATATGCTCTTCAATGCGCCATGGTTTGATCACGTCATCGTACTTCATACCAAATAGATTGAGCGCCAATTGGCGGTCATTATATCTGGAAATGGCACTCACGAACGCCAGATCTGAACGCATGGACAATGATATTTTTCTCGGCCTTGATCACCACATGGGTTATGGAATGACAGGATTTTAATAACGTTATTATGGCGTTGTGGGTGCCAAGGTGACCTTGAAATACTCACCCTGGTATACCTTTCCACATTTATGCGGGCATGTAGCTCAGAAACTAGAGGGGCTTGGTCTTAAGAAGGGCAGGATTGTGAACGGCACCGATAGGTCTTCGAATGGCTATTTTAGTTCAAAGCCTTATAAAAACGTACAATACTCGCTTCAAGATGAGACTATTTCCACGCAAAACCGCTACTACAGCATGCGTACAATAAACAAATGTGGTTTCAAAGCATGCCGATTGTTGAAAATGGATCGTGTTTAGATGGTGTCAAGTTGGCTTTGCATGAACTTCAACGTAAGGCTCACTGCAAACGTTTAATCCTCCGATCTGTTTTAGATATACAACAACGATCCCAAAATGCTATCAAATTGTTTCATGGCAAGTAGATATTAAGAATGGCGGCAAAGTTGAAACTGAACGAGAATGGTGGAAATGTTCGGGAAAACGTCATACACATAATCATGGTTTTCGGGAGCTTTGGGATGCCTCTGTACATCCAATAAACAGCAAAGTTGCACCTAAACAGCCAAAGTTCAGCTAAAATCCACTGAAATCGCTCCACGACCTCAGAATCCCACCATCTGCTCAAGTTTCTGGCTTGCGTATCGTTTTACTTCTGAAGCAGATTCATATTCCACATAATTACGCATCTGCCCCCTCATGCGCAAGCTGCATGAAATGCAGACCGCATACGCAAGCGCATACATGCCGGGACGAAATGAGTGGGGGGGGGGGGGGGGCACCAGAGTTTATGCTGATCTTTCCGCCATAAGGAACAACAAAGTGTTGGTTGTGAAAAGGTCGCAATACGTTGCCCGACATTTGCGCGGGTGATCTTTCTCTGTGACGATCAAGGCTGCTGCCACGCATGAGAGGACACGGTATAAAAAGTCAGCCCTTTCACTGTCTGGTGGTTTTAAGGGAGGAGGAGGCACTCAGTGTGACCCGCCGCGGCACCACATGACTGCGCAGTAGGACACTAGACACTAGACACACTAGACACTAGGTGACTCCCAGGTCGTAGGGCACGGTCTCAGCGGACTGACTCTGATTCTGACTCTGACTCTGATTCGCCTGAAACAACCGCGATGCCGACGAACGTGCTGCATCCAGTCTCTCCACAACGCTGATCTTATGCATTGCCATTGGGGGTTAAACGATGGTGACCATTGACACGTCGTCTGAAAACCGTCTCACAGTGTGCAGACACACACGGACACTATCAAATTTGCGCTGACCTGGAATACTTTATTCCGATTTCAACTGACAGCCGCCGGACCTGGGTCATATGGCAAAGATGCTGCGTTCAAACGATCAATTAAAGTCGACCAATTAACGGCCATTGACAAAGAAATTCGTGTTCAGCTTTGGAATTTAGTACTAAACGACGCGAGCTCATCTGATCTCTTGCTCTCGCCTTGCATCGTGATGGTGGGAATAAGTGCATGCGGGGCACCAAATCGAAAACAGCTCGGAACGGCCCTCTGCCCCACTGACTTTCGGACGGTTCGCCGCACCACGCCGAGCTGGTCGGAGCGTCGCCGAGCGACACTCACCGATCAGAGCGTGGCAGAGCGACACTCACCGATCAGAGCGTGGCAGAGCGACACTCACCGATCAGAGTGTGGCCGAACGACACTCACCGATCAGAGCGTAGCCGAATGGCGCTCACCGATCAGAGCGTGGCCGAGCGACACTCAGTGATCAGAGTATGGCCGAGCGGCACTCACCGATCAGAGCGTGGGCATCGTTCAGAGACGGGTTGCCCACGACCAATCCCACCAGCGCCAGGAAGATCACCACCCTACACATCGCGAGCTGCTCTCCGCCCGTGTTGCGGCGCCGGAGCGGGTCAAATGCGGCGCGCCACGGCCGGCGCCGTTTTATAGTTCGGCCGGCGCCGGTATCTCGGCGTGACGTCATCAGACGGGCCCAGCGTGACGTCATCAGACGCCGCCGCCGCCGTCGCCGTCGCTGCCCGTGCGGCCGCCAAACATCGCACCGATGCATGTCTTGCTGCGCACGCATGGCGCCGGATGTTCGGAGGCGGTCTGCCGCTGCCGCCGGCCGCCCTGGACCCAGCGGCCCGAGAGCCGGGCACATTGGGGCGGCAGCTGCGCGGGAGACCCGAGAGGTGGTCACCACGGCGGTCACTGGGCGGCTCGGCGATGCCGTCGCTGGGACGGACCGGCACCGGCGGACTCCCAGGGCACCCGCGCACGCGGCGGTGCTGACGTCACCCAGAGCACTGACGATCGACTCAGGCAATCTCAATCGCCCAGAGCACTGACGAGCGATTCAGGCAATCTCAATCGCCCAGAGCACTGACGAGCGACTCAGGCAATCTCAATCGCCCAGAGCACTGACGAGCGACTCAGGCAATCTCAACCGACGTCAGTGGTGGGTCTGGACACCACTGCGCACCGGCGTAAGGTGGCCCAGGTGATGGGTCAAAAACCCACCGTGCACCCGTGTCGGGCTACCCCTGGACCACCTGGCTAGGCTCTTGGGCTACATTTGCTCACTCATCAGCATACTGGAGCGACCCGAACATTCCACCTTGATATTTGGCTGGGGTACTGCACCGACAGGCAATCGGCCATGATCTCCTAGCTGCAGACCAGGCACGACATTGCTTCAGGGCCGAATTGGTCCGGGCGTGCCGTCGCCCTTTAAACTTTGAGCGTCAACCACGACAGCAACATCCGCTATCCACGCCGCTGAATTCACCGGAGGTCGGGTGATGTCGGCCTACTGTGGCCGGAAAGCACTCTGTTACGTTATTTCAACTGATGCCATGATACAGCCTGACCATTTTCAGTCCCTGAATATCCGGATCAATCTGACGTTAACGTTAACGGTGACGTTAATATCCTAGCGTGGTTCATGCCGTAAACGAGCGGGCTCGCCCGTGACTATCCTGAAGGACCGTGCCCAGGGCCAAAGCTCAAACAGATGGTCGTTCGTGTCTTAGCAATGTCCACACACTGTGTATATGCATGTTGGAGGTCCATACAAACTTTGAGACAGCCATGATCCCACCCCACCCAAAGATAAGAAGTCCACACATGCCGTCACCCCGCCCCACCATAAAGGCATGCATATTTCATGGCCCCGCCCGACCCAAAAGTTACCCACATGCCATCATCCGACCCCCCTAAACGGCGTACACATGCCAACACCCAGCCCCACCTAGAACGCATGCACACGCCACCACCCGCCCCACCCAAAGCGCATGCAAATGCCGCCACCCGCTCCACACAAAGCGCATGTAAATGCCACCACCCGCCCCACCCAAAGCGCATGTAAATGCCACCACCCGCCCCACCCAAAGTGCATGCAAATGCCATCACTCCGCCCCCACCATAAAGGCATACACATGCCATCACCTCGCCCCGCCATAACGCCATGTACATGTCTTTTGTTTGCTACACAATGTGCTGGCGATCCTGGGAAGCAGGCTCTTTGATGCCAACGAGCGCATGTCAGCTATGCGTCTCGCTTAGTTACGTTCAAGGCTGTTGTGCTGAGGCTGCTGCTGCATGGCAGGCTGTGCAGCACGCCGTTGTACAACGCTGTTCCTAAGTCGTGTATAAAAGTAATCGGAATTCCTTGATTGCGGCACATTGCAGCCGTCAGCTGTTTGCTGGCACCAGGCGCACCGGCAGCCACTGAGTGCTGCGCTGCTGGCACCAGGCGCACCGGCAGTCACTGAGTGCTGCGCTGCTGGCACCAGGCGCACCGGCAGCCACTGAGTGCTGCGCAGACACGTGTCATACTGGTGCTTGCGATTCCGCTGTGACTGGGTCAAGGGCTTATTGTCATGGCATGGGCAGCTGCCATTTGAGTTAAGCTGGAACCCGGCCTCGATTCCAGCTAGCGGCTCATGTAAACACACGCGCGCCGTTCGGCGATTCCGAACCATGCGCAGGTTGAAATCCTTTCCCACGAAAGGGCCATCAGTTCAGGAAGAAATTCATGGTCTGAGTCCCAGGTGCTTGTCCACAGTTCGATCTGTCATCGCCTGTTCCATGCTTTTGTGTTTCTGTTTCCCTATCTCGATGTCCGCATCATCGTACCGCGTGTACCGCTCCTGATCCGTGCACCCTCTGCCACTCAGCTAACCTGTCCTGTCTGCGCCCCTGCCAGCGCGCCTGTCCCCGACGCATTCCCCCGTACCTGGTCCTCAGTCGCATTGTCCCTTCCGGTCTTGATTCGAACCTCCCCCAGTTACCCTTGAAAACAGGGTAACTGTCGATTCCTGGAGCGGTCACAACCGGCTCGCTCCGCCAGAGTGCGCGGCTGCACAGCGGTGCCAGAACCTCCACTGGAACGGCGCTGCCCTGCACGCGGCCGGCATGCCACACTGTGGTGGGCCTGCACGCCTCAAGACAGGGGGCCCGCACACCTCGAGTACCCGCACGTCTCGAGACAGAGGGCCCGCACACCCCGAGACAGGAGGCCCGAACACCTCGGGGGCTCTCACGTCTCGAGACAGAGAGCCCGAACACCTTGGGGGCCCGCACATCTCGAGACAGGGGGCCCGAACACTTCGAGGGAGGGGGTCCGAACACTTTGTGACAGGGGGCCCACACCCCCAAAACGTGCGTCATGCGTCAGGCAGCTGCGGGGTGACGCCGGTTAACAATGAGCCGAGTTTTACCCTCCCGACGCAGCGTGCTTGATAGCCCCCCCCCCCCAACCCCATCTTTTTCGAGGACGTCTCCCTAACTGTGCAGCATGTTGCGATGGAATTTGGGCTGCCTTTGCCTCAAACAATTACATTGACCTCGAAGTTCGATGTCTTATTTTGTCACGGCGTCGACCTATGACCGCATCCTATAAGACGTGCGTGGCAAGAAGGTGCAAAATCACAGCCCCGCGATGCGTTATAAGCTTCAGGGGGGCATTAGATCGCTCTGCTTAGTAATTCGGAACGCATCCAGTGGTGATACTCTGTGTTTTTGCGAGGTGAAGTGAAATGAACTCTCAGCAGGTAGTTCGGTGTTCCACACTCATTAATATTCAAGACAGTCTTAAAATGTGGTCATCCATAGTAAATCTCGTGGAAAACTATGGAGTTGATTTAGGTAACCTGGCAGATGCTCTAGATTAAAAGTGGTAAGAATCTGATTGCAGGCACGTGGCGCCAATTGGTGATGAGACGGGCACATTCGCTTTTTGGTGCGGTCCGGTGTCACGAGACAGTAGAACTGCTGCTTAAGTGTTTTGGGCACCGGTTCAAACAGCCGCATCCTGCTTTGCACTGCACGCATTTGCACGCATCCTCTTGTTAATCTTTATAGATATTAAACCCATAAGCACAGCTTGAAATATCATAATACTGGAAATCGAGAAAAAAAACTCAAGAATAGCGTCATAGCCGAGCATGTGAGCAGCAATCAGAAAGAAAATGTGTCCTGTTATGTGACCTGACCTTGACCGGTGTTGCCGTCGACTTGACATGATTTTGGCTTTGACTTTCACTGACATTATGCCACGATTATGACACACAAGATCATGCCTTTTTATAGCTCGCTACAAGGCTCCACAAATATTTCCACATGTACTAGAATGCCCAGAGTTTTTAATAATTTTGGTACTTAGCGAGATATTTGTGATGATTTTCTATCACCAACAACGTGTCTGATATGAACCTATGTGTGTGGATGACGGTGGATTGGACTATCAAAAAAAAAGATTGAATTTGTCCGATTCGACCATGAGAATCTGAAAAATCGGCGACTACTTTTACCCGAATGATACAACGTGTCGTGTGTCTAGAAACATTTCGTGCAGTAGTGTGTTTTAAATTTGCTTCAAATAAGCTATTCTCTGTACAATTAAAAACAAGGGCTGTCCAGAATGGACTCAGCAATAGCCTCAGTGTTCATAGCCTATCGCCCGCTTAGCGATTTAGTAAACCACAATACTGGACTTAACCCAACCCAACACTTACAACTTTCATCCCACAGTGGTGCGTTGAACGGCGCTTTCTTTGCAATAGCTCTGTATTATATACCATACATAAGACCCCGGGATCTAATCAACTCTAAGTGATTTGCTTTGCTCGGATACCTTTGTCACAACAGGGGTAGGTCATTTGCCACCAGTATGCACCGTGATATCAGTGCCAAGCCACAACCAAAAATGTAGGCCCAATGTGGAATTAAGAAGAAGCTGTAAAATATAGACACATTGAGCAAAAAAAGTGTCAAGTGATCATTAAGAAACATACCCCTTCGCGTAAATGGCCGTGAAAACGGCCCTATAAGATTCCGAGATGCTACATAAAGAAAATGTCCATATCGCCGACTGCACACTAGCATCCACATTTGAAAATCGATCTGTAAGGAGCTTACATTCGGTATAACATCATGTGTGGTTGCATATGCGAGTGTGTTCCCAATAGCATGCCACAACAATTCTTCTTGGGATTACAACAATAACGCGCCGGGAAGACCGCAGCCCAGAAGACGCCGCGTGACGGCCAGACCAGCGCTCAGATCCCAGCGACGAACAGGCAGCCGGGCGAAGGACGACTGACCCAGCGCATCTGCCGGTAAACATGGTCATAACGGCGTCCAGCGCCCAGAATCGCGCGGGTGCGCCCTTGAAGGACCTCGGCCAAACGATCATTACCAGACGCACTTGTCCCAAACGAGCCGCCGGCAGAATAACAGCAGCTCGTGCTGCTTCCGAGCTACCTCCATGAGACAAACAGGGCCCAGCGGGAGAGCACGAGAGGGGGGGGGGGCAGCGAACGTCAGGGCAACTAAAACTCGACCAAGACAACCAAACACAGCGAGTGTTTTCGAACCACCCCGCTAGGTGGG